CACCTTGTCCCCTGGTTTGACTTTAGAAACAAGCACAAAATAGAATAGATTCAAGTCCTAATAAAGAGTAAAGCTTCTCTCAGGCAGTGGATGGAAAACAAACCATGTGGATAACAAGAGCACTATGTGGGATTCCAGGCTCCAGCTACTCAAACCAGATTTAGACTTTCTTCTGGAATGCCTTTTAGGAAGCTCCAGAGGTTTTAGGGCATAGGATAGTTAAGCATTTTATTTCCTTCTGTCGATTATGGTCTTAATGTGATATATCTCATATTGATTGCTTTAATTCTTGTGAATGTTTTTAATAACAGGGAAATCTCTGTATGTGAAGAGGCTGCATGAGAGACTGCAAGAAGAGCAGCCTGACTGCACAGAACTTCTGAAAACCATCAGACTGATTGAACCAGAAGTGGATGAAGATAAAGTGCTAAAATCTCTCCTGCCTTTTCTGAAGAGAGAACACCAGACAAAGCCCATGATATTCCATTTTGATATCACCTCCTCAGTGAGTACATCCCTCCCTCCCACAGCTGCCTTGTCCCACAGGTCCTGTGTAGACCCTTGCAGGAGCTTTCTTTAAAGCTCTTGTTTCTCAACCAGCCATTTCCCTAGCGTGTGTTCTCTCATTATTGTGTAAGTAACACAAATACCATAAAGGTGATTGAACTCTGGAGCAGTTGCCCAGAGAAACTGTAGAGTCTCCACCTTGGAGACATTAAAAACCTGACTGAATGTGGCCCTGGGAAGCCTGGTCTAGCTGGGCCTGCTTTGAGCAGAGAGCCTTCCCACCCTCAACTGTTCTGTGCTTCTGTGCAGTTGTGATGGGTAAATAAAGAGGAAGTGCCTTGCTCTCTCTTCTTGTGATAGGTGCAGCGTGGAATTCCAGAGTTTCTCTTCAAGCTGTTGGTTTTGCAGTACCTGACAGATAATAATGGCAACATGTGGCTACGGCAGAAGTGTCATCTGTACATCATTGAAATCCTGGAGGGGTCCCCAGTGCCAAAGACAGCAGCCAGACCTGTATGTACCAGCAATGCTCCTTTTCTGGCAATTTCTCAGTCACTTTGCACATAGCTGTGGTGAGTTGTAGAGACTGTAACTGTAAACACAGCACAGGAGTTCCCTGTTTCATTGGGGGTGTGCTGTATCCCATAACAATCTAATGTCCCTGGTGTTGTACAAAGTGTCACTAACACCAGACAGCAAATTGGGCCTGCCTGGTGTCCTTGGGTTGATGATTTCTGAAGGCACATTAGTCCAAGCTTCACTGCCCCCACTGTAACATTTATAGGAAACATAAAAATGCAAAATATAATCTTCCTTGTGTTAATTTGCATGTTTGAAAATAGGCAAATATTTATATGCAGCTGTAAGAATAGAATGTAAAAGTGACTGGAATAAATACCAGCAGTTTCTTGGGTTTAGTTTTCTTTGAAGTAGCCCGGAGAAGGGGCTGGAGGTGATGCCAGACTCATGTTCCTGGAAGGAAAATGTAGGAGGGAATAGGATTTCTTGGTGCATTTTAAGTGGAAGAAGGGATGCACAGAGAAAAGGCTGGCCCCTGTTCCTCAGTTCTGTGGTTTTAGGCAAGGAGACTGTTAAGAACAGATTAAATAAGCTGATGAAGAGTGAGCTCTGAGATGACCTTTTATTTTCTTTTTCTCCAGATGTCAGTGAGCCAGAAGTATCACTTCTTGGATGTGTTCCCTAAAATAACGTGCAAGTCTCCCAAAGAAGTGCTAGAAATGGAGACACTTGGGAACAGTTCTGGGGATGTGGGAATGGACAAGGAGGAATTTTGCAGTGAGGCTTTCCAGAGACCCTTCCAGTACCTGAAGAGGTTTGACCGGGGCTGTGACCTGGACACGTTCTGGTACGAGGCGCTCTCGGTGGAAGGCAGCCCTGCAGAATGCCTGCAGCTCTTCCTCCTGCACTGCGGGGTCATGGATCCCTCCTGGGCAGAGCTCCGCAACTTCACCTGGTTCCTCAACATTCAGCTGAGAGACTGCGAAGCCTCTGTCTTCTGCAACCCTGACTTTGTCCAAGACACTTTGAATGGCTTCAAGAACTTTGTGGTTGGCTTCATGATTTTAATGGCGCGGGATTTTGCGACGCCCTCCCTGAGCATTTCCGACCAGAGTTCAGGAAGACGATCCTCCCACCTGGAGAACGTCGCCGAGGAAGATCTGCTTCCTTTCCGCATCAGGAAGAAGTGGGAGTCAGAGCCTCATCCCTACCTGTTTTTCAATGAGGATCGTGTGTCCATGACATTCATTGGTTTCCACTTCCAGCAGAACGGGAATGCCTGCGCCCGGCCTGCGCCCCCGCCGAGCTCCTGCCGCGTGTCACCGAGCAGGCGCGGCTGGCCCTGCTCAACTGTGCCACCCCCGACGCCGTCATCCGCCTCTGCAACTCCGTGGGGGTGTTCATGGCGCACTCCCTGGCCCACACCTACTTCAGGCAGCAGCAGCACACCTCCTTCGCCGACTTCCTGGGCGCCCACGTGCGTGCAGAGGCTGGGCCCCAGACTGCCTTCACCGAGGTGAGGCTGCGGTGTTCCCAACCCTCCTGACCCTGCTCAGCTCCGTGTGCCCGGGCTGCAGCGTGGCACCGCCTGTGTGTGCTGCAGTGCCAGGTGTGCAGAGCTGGCAGCAAATAAATGCTGGTTTTGGGGCGCAGTGCAGCTCTGCAGCAGCCCAGGGGGGCAGTGCAGTGCAGCTCTGTAGCAGGCCAGGGGGGCAGTGCAGCTCTGCAGCAGGCCAGG